AGACATTGGTTCCGGTTATTTGTCTTGAATGACAATGATATAAAACTGAATATAACCTCTTTAAATGTATGTGGTATTAAGCCAGTCTAAATGTCTAAATCCAGATTTTGATATATCAATTAACAAGAGTGCACATGCTGAAATGTCTCACCTGCTTTACTAGTACATATCATGATTGAAGTTATTATGATAAGTATGTAATATAAAGGATTTACTACAAGTATCACAATACTTAACATTATCAATGATCAGTGTAAATGAGGTCAAGGTCAGATGAACTCTGCCAGACAGACATGTTCACATTAAATACATACTATTTAGGATATTGCTTAATATAGTAAATTAGAAATTGACCAAACAACCATAAAAGTGAGGTCAAGGTCAGATGAAGCCTACCAGACAGAATATACACCATGCATTCATTTCACACACCATGATAGTTGACACTTTTGCTACTATTATTTGAGAAACAAAGTTAACATTGATGACTAATAAACCATGAAATGAGGTAAAGTTCAGATGAACCCTGCAAGACAGACATGTACATCTTACAATCATTTAATACACAAAATATAGTTTGCCTATTGCTTATAGTATCTGAGAAACAGACATAATTACAAAAATAGAACATGACCAATGAACCATAAAAATGAGTTCAAGGTCAGATGAACCCTGTCAGACAAAATGCAATCATTCCATACACCAAATATCTGATAAACAGAAAAAACATTAAAACCTAAAATTGACAAAGGAACCAAAAAAAGGTCAGATGAACCCTGCCAGACAGACATGTACACCTTACAATCATTCTATAAATCAAATATGGTTTACCTGTCGCATGTAGTATCTGATAAACAGACAAAACCATGAAAACTTAACATTGACCAAAGAAACATGAAAATGAGATATTTTTTTAAGTTCATATGAAACCTGCCAAAAACCATAAAAATGAGGTCAAGGACAATAGGTATATGACAGACAGAAACTTTGAAACATAAGGCATTTGCCTACAAGGTATGGAGCATCTACTGGTTTTCTACCTTCTAAAATATAAAGCTTTAAACAAATAGTTTACAACACCACCATCGCCAGATAGTTATCCCTATGTCTCGCATTCTGCTACTTTTGTCTCAGGCGGAAAAAAGTTCAACATATTTCAAAGATAAATTACCAGCCTAGTAGTCAGCCCTTGTTTTGGCATGACATATTCTTTTGTAAATTGTAAACAAGGTAAGAGTTCCTTTAATTTAAACCAATTCTACCGATTTGATTAGGTCACCGCTTATGAAATTATTTTCTGGTACATACTCCTTTAATTTTTTATGCTAACAAGTAGCAAACAAAGATAATAATTTGTGTTGTAGTCCGAATTTTCTCCCTATGTCTCTGCAATACGTTGTCTGCTCTTTGGTCGGGTTGTTGTCTTTTTGACATATTCCCCATTTCCATTCTCAATTTTACTCGTGTTGTTCAGATATTATTTATTCAATGACACAGTTCATCTTCCAAGAATTTGAATACCCTGATCAACACCAAATGATTATCATGAAAGTTTTTTTTTATTTTCTCTTTTTTTATTAAGTAACTGCATAACTTGCATTACCTTTGGTTTATATAATGCTAATCAATATATAGAGGGAACAAAGCTTACTTATGTCATTGCCACTTAATGGAGAAACCTTTGGGTTACTTCTCTGAGTTAAAGATAGAGGAAACAAAGGTTACTTATGTCATGGCCACTTAACGGAGAAACCTTTGGGTTACTTCTCTGTGTTAAAGATAGGGGGAACAAAGGTTACTTATGTCATTGCCACTTAACGGAGAAACCTTTGGGTTACTTCTCTGTGTTAAAGATAGGGGTAACAAAGTTTCTTATGTCATGGTCACTTAATAGAGAGTACATTGGAAAACTTTCTCTGTGTTAAAGCTAGAGGTAACAAAGTTTCTTATGTCATGGTCACTTAATAGAGAGTACATTGGAAAACTTTCTCTGTGTTAAAGCTAGAGGTAACAAAGTTTCTTATGTCATGGTCACTTAATAGAGAGTACATTGGAAAACTTTCTCTGTGTTAAAGCTAGAGGTAACAAAGTTTCTTATGTCATGGTCACTTAATAGAGAGTACATTGGAAAACTTTCTCTGTGTTAAAGCTAGAGGTAACAAAGTTTCTTATGTCATGGTCACTTAATAGAGAGTACATTGGAAAACTTTCTCTGTGTTAAAGCTAGAGGTAACAAAGTTTCTTATGTCATGGTCACTTAATAGAGAGTACATTGGAAAACTTTCTCTGTGTTAAAGCTAGAGGTAACAAAGTTTCTTATGTCATGGTCACTTAATAGAGAGTACATTGGAAAACTTTCTCTGTGTTAAAGCTAGAGGTAACAAAGTTTCTTATGTCATGGTCACTTAATAGAGTACATTGGAAAACCTTCTCTGTGTTAAAGCTAGAGGTAACAAAGTTTCTTATGTCATGGTCACTTAATAGAGAGTAAATTGGAAAACCTTCTCTGTGTTAAAGCTAGAGGTAACAAAGTTTCTTATGTCATGGTCACTTAATAGAGAGTACATTGGAAAACTTTCTCTGTGTTAAAGCTAGAGGTAACAAAGTGTCTTATGTCATGGTCACTTAATAGAGAGTACATTGGAAAACCTTCTCTGTGTTAAAGCTAGAGGTAACAAAGTTTCTTATGTCATGGTCACTTAATAGAGAGTACATTGGAAAACCTTCTCTGTGTTAAAGCTAGAGGTAACAAAGTTTCTTATGTCATGGTCACTTAATAGAGAGTATATTGGAAAACTTTCTCTGTGTTAAAGCTAGAGGTAACAAAGTTTCTTATGTCATGGTCACTTAATAGAGAGTACATTGGAAAACTTTCTCTGTGTTAAAGCTAGAGGTAACAAAGTTTCATATGTCATGGTCAACTAAGGGAGAGTTCATTTGGATTACTTATCTGTTTAAAATATAGAGGTAACTAAGGTAGCTTGGCATGATCAGCTTAACGGAGAGTACCTTTGTGATTCTTTCTCGGTGTTAAAGATAAAGGTAAATGAAATACAGGAAACAGCTTGATACGTCCGCAAAGGTGGACCCTGAACAATTGGGGTAAGTATGGTCACAACATCCAAGCTTGTTACAGCTCTGAATTTTGATTGTGATTAAATATTTGACACAGCGTAGGTTTCTGACACAGAATGAATGTGGTCTAAGAACTTAAAAAATTTGAAATTGGCCATTTACCTATTATGGTCCAATATCCAAAATCTAAATACAAAGTTAGATTCAGCTTATCAAAGAAACCCCAAGAATTCTATTTTTAATGAAATCAACCAAAGTTTAATTTTGGACCCTTTGGACCTTAATGCGGACCAATTTAAAAACGTGGCCCAAAATTAAAAATCTAAATGCACGATTAGATTCGGCATATCAATGAACCCCAATAATTCAATTTTTTATGAAATCAAATAAACTTTAATTTTGGACCCTTTAGACCTCAATGTGGACCAATTTTAAAAATGGGGCCCAAAATCCAATATCTTAATACATACATGGTTAAATTCAGCATATTAAAAAAAACCAAGAATTCAAGACTTTGAATTGAACCCCATTGAAATTAGTCAAGAAATAAGCAATTTATACAAAGTATTAGAAAATTTTTTTTTGAACCTTGTGGTACAATTTCATGGAGATTCACACACTTTAATATACCCTATTCAATTCATGATCTGTAAATCAAATATCTTCGGACCACGACAACAACGTCATACCATTATACGGTAGCAAACATTTTGCAGTTGTTTAAAATGTTACTTATGTCATGGTCACTTTATGTACATTTGGGATGTTTTCTCAGTGTGTAAGATAGAAGTTTCTTATGTCATGGTCACTTTATGTACATTTTGGATATTTTCTCAGTGTGTAAGATAGAAGTTACTTATGTCATGGTCACTTTATGTACATTTGGGATGTTTTCTCAGTGTGTAAGATAGAAGTTACTTATGGCATGGTCACTTTATGTACATTTGGGATATTTTCTCAGTGTGTAAGATAGAAGTTACTTATGGCATGGTCACTTTATGTACATTTGGGATATTTTCTCAGTGTGTAAGATAATGTTTTCTCAGTGTGTAAGATAGAAGTTACTTATGTCATGGTCACTTTATGTACATTTGGGATGTTTTCTCAGTGTGTAAGATAGAAGTTACTTATGTCATGGTCACTTTATGTACATTTGGGATGTTTTCTCAGTGTGTAAGATAGAAGTTACTTATGTCATGGTCACTTTATGTACATTTGGGATATTTTCTCAGTGTGTAAGATAGAAGTTACTTATGTCATGGTCACTTTATGTACATTAGGGATATTTTCTCAGTGTGTAAGATAATGTTTTCTCAGTGTGTAAGATAGAAGTTACTTATGTCATGGTCACTTTATGTACATTTGGGATATTTTCTCAGTGTGTAAGATAGAAGTTACTTATGTCATGGTCACTTTATGTACATTTGGGATGTTTTCTCAGTGTGTAAGATAGAAGTTACTTATGTCATGGTCACTTTATGTACATTTGGGATATTTTCTCAGTGTGTAAGATAGAAGTTACTTATGTCATGGTCACTTTATGTACATTAGGGATATTTTCTCAGTGTGTAAGATAGAAGTTACTTATGTCATGGTCACTTTATGTACATTAGGGATATTTTCTCAGTGTGTAAGATAGAAGTTACTTATGTCATGGTCACTTTATGTACATTTGGGATATTTTCTCAGTGTGTAAGATAGAAGTTACTTATGTCATGGTCACTTTATGTACATTTGGGATGTTTTCTCAGTGTGTAAGATAGAAGTTACTTATGTCATGGTCACTTTATGTACATTAGGGATATTTTCTCAGTGTGTAAGATAGAAGTTACTTATGTCATGGTCACTTTATGTACATTTGGGATATTTTCTCAGTGTGTAAGATAGGGATATTTTCTCAGTGTGTAAGATAGAAGAAACAAAGGTAACATAAATCTTTTTTATTGACATAAATTTTCTACAAGACAATAGAAAGTTACAAAAACAGTACACTGAAATCTTATCAATGCATCATTTGACAAATTCAAAGAAAATGTTTACAATCATTTTAGGGAATTCCCAACAAAACACTTCTTTTACTCTTTCAAAATGTTTTTGAAAACAAGTAATCTGTATCCCAATTTACAAGTCATCAATAATCTGTATCCCAATTTTCAAGTCATCAATAATCAACGTATAAGAATAGAAACTGTCATGATCTTCATTTTATTCACAGATTACAGTAATCATTACATTGGGTAAAAACTTCATACTTTAAAAAAAGAAAATAACCAAAATTAAACATCTTCCAAGAAAATTTGTACTTTTGTCTTATACTAAATTAGAAGACAAAACGATAATTTCCTGAATTTTTAACAATACTAGCCATCTACATTGAGCTTATAAATTCACCTTTCAGATCATTAAATCATTTCTCTGTTTATTATGCAAATCAAGTGAATATGTGCACATGAGCTGTAGATGTAGATAGTTGATTATACTTTCTTGTAAGCTATGAAGACGTTTTGTTTAAACAAATCTATAAGCTCAATGCTGACAGACAGTATTTACTAATTTGATAAAAAAAAAAATCTTTGAAATAGAAGTGTAAGTCTAAGCATAATGTCTCACAAGGGGTAATATACCGTTATTATTTCAAAAAAATAATTTAAGGGTGATCATTAGGGATGCTTTGTCAGGTAACTTTTAATATTTTTTACTGAAGCATATCTAATTTGATGGTAGAATTGTCTACACCAACCAATACATAGTTGAATGTTGGTTTCAGCTTCTGTAAATGTTATTAAATAATGAAGGCATCCCTAAATTTACTTGCATAAGAAGACGTTGTCACAAAAATCTCTTGAAGGATATTCATTTACTATAATATAAAGTTTCACATTTACCCTTTCTAGTAAAATGAATTTGAACAAGCTTAAACATCCCTTGACCTACACTGCTTGTCCCATATCCCATTGTTTACACCGATTCTCTCTTTTTTACAGACCTCTCCAACTTTAATTCAAAAACCAAGAAAACAATATCATTACGAATAACCACCTGTGGTATACAAATATTAACAAACATGTTCCTGTTATTTATTTATCAACATCTACAACTAAATAATCACTCATTCAGTAATATTTGATCTACTTTTACTGAAAAACATGTTGAAATGATAATCTATTTTCACAAAAAGTGATTTAATCAATGGACAATTGATTAATAATTTTAAGATAAAAGGAAATCATAAACACTCATAGATTGCTGTACTTGTTTGGTAATTCAAAATATTTTATAAAAACTTTTATCTGTTCCTCCAAATCTTATAAATTCTAAGAGATTTAATCATAATTATCAAATATCATTAAATATTTACATTCTAAATTTCAACCATTTTCGGATTCATATACTGGCAGTTAGCAAGTCAAAATAAATTTTATAATATGATCCTTTTATAAAATTTATAATTTATTTGATTTATATAAATCAATATACATTGAGATACTTATAATTAAAAAACTGTAGTTATATAAAAATGATTAATCTTCGTCACATTTATTTTTCCTCTAGACTTTTTGTTTATGGTAGTCTATACTATTTACCCATTAATACTGCTGACAAAAAAAGCAATTACAAAAAATGTAGATAAATTTGATGCCCAGCAAGTTTCATAACAACATAGAGGAAACAGTTGAATCTGGACACAGCTTAGATATACTTCCAAAATATATATTTGTTGGTCTGAGACAAAAGAAATCCCATTTTTTAAGTAGACCCTCATACAGATGATTCAGGCCAGTTTTGTCAGTGGTTTTAAATGATTTTTTTTTAAATAGATGATGATAAAATCTTTTATGGCTCTTCATGTCACTTGAAAATTAATTTTAAGGATAAATTATGTTCAATTGGCAATAACCTACTTCTGTGCATTTCTGCCAATCACTGTATTTTAATTGCTGATTCATCATATTTAGAACAACTATTGTGATCAATACATTTTTTTTATATTTGCATTTACACGCTTTAATTTTAGTAATGATACAATAATGACATTTCATAAATAAATGTTAGAGACCAACATAATTCAATCTAAGAAGCAAATTCACAACTTATGCATTAATTTTCCCTACATAATGTATATTCACAGCAGAGCCTACAAATCACACTGGTCAAGGACTGCTATCACCCCCCACCCCTTCCCCCAAGAAAAAGATTAAAGGTCAACATATTGCTGTTTTACAAACTTGTAATACATGCACTGTATGTATACTTAAGGACATTAGAAAAATTGGCAAGGGAGTAATGACTTTTAAATTTCATTATGTTTTCATTATGCTAAAGTAAAACTAAAAATTCCATTCAGAAAATAAATTCATCCTTCAATGTCTAAAAACATAGACCCTTATTTTAATGGAAAAAATCAAGAGTCTTTTTTCAAATGGTTACTTTTGTAACTAATATACCTTTGGAATCCCTTACAACAAAAATATCTGCATGGTTTAGAATAGTTAACATTAAACTCACTAATGATTTGTAAAGTTAACTTGAGTGACAAACTAAGGAATATGGAAGAAATTATCTCTTTATTTCTGTTAAAAATGTTATGTTATTTTTCTTGAACATTGTAAACCTTCAAATTATATCTCCTTCAATAGGTCAAATTGAAACTAACAAATATTGAGAAAAGTACAAAATTGATTCTGCGTCAAAACATAAGCAGTGCATCTTAACTGCACTGTATTCTGTTAATGTATATTTACAAGGTTGTACTGAAATGAGAACTAAACACATAACCTATCATTTATAATACTTAATCTTTTTTAAAAACAAACCTTTGAATGTACTATTGTAAGCTGAGTGTTATGATACAATCCAATGATATGAATGTGTCTTACACTCCAACAACAGGAGAACAGTGTGAAATTATGAAGCAAGTGTAACAGCAATGCTAAAGTAAACAAGGATATCTTTTTTTTTACAAATTTTTTTATACATAAATTGAATGAAATGGAACATGTTTTTGTACATATATTTTTTTCAGACATTTTTTTTTTCAGAGATGAGACATGTGAGAGTAACATATATAAATATACTGATGAACAATAATTCTTTCAAGGCAGTGTAAAAATATGCAGGTAAGCAGTGTACAAATAAATTTCTATTTATCGCCTATAATCATTTTCACAATTGTTTAACTCTTTCATACTTAAAAATTCTAACTAATATTTCATTTTAATTTCTCTGACAGTTATCTATAATTCAGCAATTAAATGCTTAACAAAAACATACATATAAATGCTTTTTGAGATCCTTATATTCCAAAAAATAATAAATCATAATATAAAGCTATATTAGTATAAAATCTGTTTTCTGTTAGTATCGACAATTTCATGATTAAATTCACTTGCAGAACATTTTGCGTCATGGGTCAAATAAAGCCATCCATATCTGCTACTTTTACCACACACAATCACTAAATAAATATCCAGACTTACAATCCTATTTTGACCCAAACTGCAATATATACTGTTCAAGCAAGAAATATGAAATTTTGAGTTTTTAATTTATGATCAAATGTCTTTCTTCTAGCTATTAACGTTTCATGTGTCTGTTTTCTTGAACTGCTAATAACTGAGCCATTCACAAAGCATTAATCTCCAGGAAAGTTGCCAAGTCAGCTAGAGTTATGTATAAATATATAAAATGTCAAAAAGTTATAACAAAAGAATTGTTTTTCACAGTGTTTTCAAGTTTAATATAAATAGCCAGCTGGTTGAACTTTCCTGTATAACAGTAAATATATCATCCAATTTGTGAATTGTCTCCTTTTTCACTGTATGTGTTTTTAATCCTGTAAAATTATTATCTCCCTGTAATGCATTCTTTTGTGAAAAGTAACATTTAGTCTTCCTCTTCATCTGATTCTTCTTCTGCCTGTTCTAGCCAGGTTAGCCAAGTATTAACCTAAATAAATCAAAATAAAGTGTAAATAAAAGTGACATGTTAATGATGGATATGAAAAACATCATAACAAACTATGCATTGTGATTCATGTGATGGTATGTATATATATGGTAATTGTAGTTTGTATAAGGCCATTTCCATATGGTTGGTTTTTTTATTTATATTCAACTAGTGATAAAGTCTTTTGGTACTATTTGTGTGTTGGTTGCTGTCTAAATGATGTATATCCAAATCTCATTGATGTATACCCCATTATCTCCCTTTGTTCAAGTTTTATCAGTACATATCAATGGAAAATTAAAACCTTGTTGAAAATAGAATTTCATGTCTAAGTAATACAGAACATCTATAAAAATTGTGTATCCAACAACTAATCAATGGGTGAAACTTTTACAAAAGAACAAAACATTGTTTTTGGATATAAAACATGACTTCATAATCAGATGTTTGTAGTCAGGTCTAAAGGAAACCAAACCATATATTGAGTAGCTGATAGCTTGTAACACTGGAATGTTGTCTGACATTGAATAGTTGGGTTGAGGTTTAAATTCATTATGAAGTGAATGTCATGGACTTTTCTTCATAAGCAAATAAGAACAAATGATTATGCATTCAGCATTGTTACCTGAAACAAAGCTTTTCCTTTACCAGGATATTCATCATTTACTTCCTCCTTCCATTTTAGGAACACCTCTTCATCAGCTATCTCTAAATCATAGTAGTTCATAAACAACCTTAGTAACATCCCTACAAAATAAAAACTGATATTCACCATTCTCATTATTTACAAGATTTTGCAGGCATGATGAGAACAGAAAAAGGATTGACTATTTCACAGAATACATGCACATTTGCTAAATACAAACAATTGGAAAACAATTATTTGTGTGACATGTTTATACAGTATACTCACAACTGATTAATCAGTATAATAAATACCAATATAACATTGCATACCTTTGGGGAATTGTTGTGAGTGGCAGAACACTTGTGTAGCATACAATGTGACCATCTGGAGATCTGAATGATCATGTAAAAACATCTGTAATACTCCCTACAAAGAGTAAAAGCAGTTGTAAAATTTCAACAATATGTTAAAATCATTTATAAATATCCAACAAAATGTAAAAGCATTTTGTAAAATCATTACTAGTTGAAAAAAAACACCTTAAAAAAAGGCACAAAATGTAAAAGCAGTCTTCAAAGCACTAAATAAAAAGTATTAAAAACAGTTGTAAAACTCCTAAAAGAAAGTATAAAATTTAAAAATTTAAAAAGGGAAACTTTCATATTGAGGTAAAATGAAATCTTCATGTATAGATAGTAATGTACATGTTTTTAAATCAGATAGAAAATATTTTACACTAAACAAATTCCACATGATAAGAGGTCACGCCCATACATGTGAAATGGATATCCACTTTTATATAAACAAAATTGTGTCAAAGTCTCAAATGGTCAAGTTGCAATGTTTGTGACTAAATTTTACTGAAAAATGACAAAGTTCCAAATTCTGAAAAAATGAGAAAAAAATCCTCAAACAGTTCCATAATAGCATAACTTAAACATATGTGCAATCTTCCTATGAAGTTACAGGCATCTGCGTTTAAAACTGAAGAAGTTGATTACACAAATTATGTACCGAGTTTTTTCTGCCTACCTGACATCACCACACTATGAGTTTTGGACTTCATCCAACAGGCCAAAAATATAACTACATGTAAGTAGTGAATTTCAAACTACTGACAATTTCAAATAATAATCTTTTAAATATTGTTTTTATTGATGACAGCTTGAAAAAATCTAATGCATGTGTGTTTTTGTTAATTGTCCTTAAAATTTCTATACATGCAAGCATGTTTTTTGTTACACATTATGTATGTTAATGACACAGGAAGTCCTGGCAATTAATGTGTGATAGTCTAACTTTTGACACTAAGATTGAATTTTACTGTGCTTTTTTCATTCAATGCCTTTTTAAGATGTTGGTTAATATTTTATATATTCCAGGGATTTAATGCAGACTCTGAAAGAGAGACAATAATAATTTTTCAGGGTGAATAACATGAAGCGTTATTTCTGGTATATCTATAACTAACATCCAGCGGAATTGTCCTTCAGTAAACCAGGGTTATCAGTGAGATTAATACAGTATTGATTGGTCTCTTCTTTAATTTCACAAGTTTTGTGGAAAGTTCTTTCTCGTGTGAATTTAATATTATTTACCTTCATTTTATCAAGGTTCTGTTTTTCTTTTTCTATTCCAGTCTTGTCTGGAGTTGCAGATGTATCTATATCCTTCCCCAAAGTACAGTCCTGGGTCACATATTTTAACACACTAAAAAAAAACATAAACATCTTTCAAATGCCCATAGGAACATGAACTGTTGTCTTGGTCAGTGTATTTTGACACAAAAATGTTTGACATACCTTGAAACTAAGTACATTTTTATTCCCAATTAATTTGCCACCAACTCCACAAAAGTTTACCATGAGAAAGAACTTACTTTTAAACTGGTCATGGGGCTTAAAATTAATTTATTTTCAACAAGGTTTTGGTTTGGACCAACAACATACTTATCTTCTTAAGCATATTAAGATTGCTAGTATAACTTTCCAAGTAGTACTTTGAGTTCAGTTAATATACAACACTAAACTGATCTACTAAAGTTTGTACCTTCAGTTTTAGATGAATACTGTCTACTAAAACTTCTATAACTTACCATGCAGTTAAAACATTAATAAATCCTGTGGTATATTGGAGGTTTGTATCAACACTATCCTTTATCCACTTGTACAGAGCAGTGGCATTTGGTTCTGCCTGGATCTGTCGCCACAACTCTGATTGCACACGTAATAATGGGAACATAAAACTCAGTCCACGGTCCTCTAATATCTCCATCATTCTCTCTTTATTCTGATCGATTTCTGTAGGAAAAAGTCATTATATGTATATCAAGGTGTGTAATAACATTACTTTATGTATATTACTGTGGAATCATTATTATTCGTGGGATATCAATTTTTGTTGATTTCTTCGGTAATGGTGAACCACATAATTCAATGTTCCACGAAGATAAAATTTTCTATAGGCTTGTATGCAGCCTTTGGCAAAACCACCAAATTTAAATATCCATGAAAATACATAAAATTGGTACTGACAAATAATAGATCCACAGTAACATACATGTATATCATGTATATCAAGGTAAGGTGTGTGCTTACATCATAACATGTATACCATAGTGTGTAATAACATCATTACTTGTATATCAAGGCCTGTTATAACATTATTTTATGTATATTAAGGTGTGTGCTTACATCATAACATGTATACCAGTGTGTAATAACATCATTACTTGTATATCAAGGCCTGTTATAACATTATTTTATGTATATTAAAGTGTGTACTTACATCATAACATGTATACCAAGGTGTGTAATAACATCATTACATGTATACCAAGGTGTGTTATAACATCATTACATGTGTATCAAAGTGTGTAAAACAAATGCAGAATCATCACGTGTTTTAATAAAGGTGTGTAATAGCATCATAACATGTATATCAAAACGTGTAATAACATCATTACATGTGTATCAAGGTTCGTAATACAAATGTAGCATTATTTAATGTGTTCAAGGTGTAATAGCATCATTACATGTGTATCAAGGTGTGAGATAGATAAAATTGTGAGGTGCAGGAGACTTAGACAAGAGAATTACTATATTTATAGTAACTAATGGTTCTTACCATTCTACAAGATTTGTGTATTAATTTGACAGAATATTAGTTGCTTAATGTCTAGAGGTGAATATATTGCACATATACAGAATAGAGTTTTAGGATGTTAACTATTACAGTCTGGTTTCACACTGTTTTGGTGAACTAAGTAAGACAAAATACAATTGACTCTGGAAATAAACCCAGTTATAAACAAGCATTGTGATAACTATTCCAAACATGAATTAAGAACTTAAACTAAGAATTTACCACATGTAAATCAGGTTTCCTTCTTACCTGGCAACATTTTCTGCAGATTAATTTTACTGTTGTTAAATGAAGCCACCAGCCATTTCTTGTCCTTTATTTTATGTATCTGTTGAAGACAGAGGAGAAACAAGGGGTAATAAGCACCATTCTCCATTGGGTCTGCCAATTCTGCCAGGGTAATTACCCCCTCTGTTACTCCCATAGCAGCAAACTTAGCAAGGTAAGTTTTAATTAAGGGAATTTCAGCCTCCATAGCTGACATTTGATCCAGTAACATCTGGAATCCCTGAAATTATAATAATTAGACATTGGAACATATTTTTTTATTGACCCCTTTACATCTTGGAGATAACAAATATCTCAAAAAGTAAATACTTTATTCATCTGTTCAAAAATTTGAGCTGATTCAACTACAAGTTCAAAGTCAGCTTGTTGCCTAGTAACTGTAGTTGCTGTCAGTAATTTCTATGATAATGGTCATCAATGTTAATTTAAAAAGAAAAGCCTTCCAATGTCCCCCGTGACATGGTGTAGTAAAAAAGACACGTGATACATGTAAAATGCAGAAAAGTAGCTTTTGCAATCAACTAAAAACCCAAATAGGTTGGCAATTTCTTAAGAAAATATATGCAGGAAAAAAAAAAGGTTTATGATCATCTTTACTCTTTAAATGACAGTAAGTTAGATTATTTCCATTTTCCAGGACATTTACTTCCAGCTGTGCCATATTAAATCCCTTAAAGAGATATGATGAAATGATCACAAACAACTGCTTGAACTACTCCCTCCCTTTGGTCCTTGCATTAGAGAGATGGATTGATCACATATCAACTGTCTAGACACATGTACACTATGGAATAAATGAATGCTCTAAGTAACATTAAAGCTCACCTCCATGAACTGATCAGCCAACATCAGATTCTCAGATTTCATGGCAGTTATCAGTACCATAATATTTTCTCTTTCTGTATCTAAAATTTAAAAATAAATGTCAGCTACATGTTATCAAGTTTAGGTAATACAACATACCTGATTTATCAACAGAAGCTTTCATTAATGACATAACAGCCGACAACATACCTGATTTATCAACAGAAGCTTTCATTAATGACATAAAAGCTGACAACAAACCTGATTTATCCACAGAAGCTTTCATTTAAGACATAACAGCCAGAAGCTTTCATTAAAGACATCATAGCCGACAACATACCTGATTTATCCACAGAAGCTTTCATTAAAGACATCACAGTCGGTAGCTTTCAATAAAGACATTACAGCCGACAACATACCTGGTATATATACAAAAGCTTTCATAATGACATTATAGTCGGAATAATTCATTAAAGACATTATAGTCGGAAGCATTCATTTAAGACATTACATCCGACAACATACCTGATTTATCCACAGAAGCTTTCATCATATTCATCAAAACTTCTCCCATGAACCTATAATACAGAACATATCATATATATAACACTTCCATTAAACTTTCAATTTTGTGATAAAAAGGAAACAACTGCATCATCTTAATAGGATTTGGGTCTTCACTCTCAGCAAACACAATGTAACACAAGAATGTCAACTTTGTCAGTATTCTGGTACCAGGTAATACTAAAGTACTTTTTCACAAAAATTAAATGCAAATATTTTAATTCAAATAATGGTTTTAATAATTTTTCAGTCCAAGATGACGGTATACAGTTAATCTACCTTAAATAGGTTCAAAATAATCAAACTGCATTTAAATTGAAGAAAAATATAAAACAGCTTTTATGTTAATATAAATTTGGAATATAAATGTGGGAGTTACTTTGTAAACAAATCTTGCTCTGTATTTTATACAATTAGTTGGTGTTTAATATGGTCTTTTTTCTGTATCTTCATCAATTCCCAGGTCTTATATTTTCCACTATTTCAACTGATCAGTCTTTTTTCAAACCCCTCAACACTTTTGAAACACCAATAATATATCACAAAAAATTAATTTGATTGGAGATGGAATGTTAATTTCCACAGATCTTACATCCTGGTCTAATGTCTTTGAACACACAGCAGAAATGTGAAGATAAGTTCTAACTTCTTGAGACAATTGACACTGAACACACAACAGAAATGTGAAGTTCTAACTTCTTAGGAGAGTTGAGAACGAACACACAACAGAAATGTGAAGTACTTACTTCTTAGGACAATTGAGACAGAAATGTGAAGCACTAACATCTTTGGACAATTGACTGACCACACAACAGAAATGTGAAGCACTTACTTCTTAGGACAATTGACACTGAACACACAACAGAAATGTGAAGCACTAACTTCTTAGGACAATTGACACTGAACACACAACAGAAATGTGAAGTTCTAACTTCTTAGGAGAGTTGAGAACGAACACACAACAGAAATGTGAAGTACTTACTTCTTAGGACAATTGAGACAGAAATGTGAAGCACTAACATCTTTGGACAATTGACTGACCACACAACAGAAATGTGAAGCACTTACTTCTTAGGACAATTGACACTGAACACACAACAGAAATGTGAAGCACTAACTTCTTAGGACAATTGACACTGAACACACAACAGAAATGTGAAGCACTAACTTCTTAGGACAATTAACACTGAACACTCAACAGAAATGTGAAGCACTTACTTCTTAGGACAATTGAGATCCTTAAATGCATTTAAAGCATCATTACATCCACCAGCCTCCAGATATTCTGTCAGAATATTAGTCTAAAAAACAATCATAAATTTACATCATAATCTTACAACACAAAAATACAACATAAGAACATTATAAAAATATTTACGAAAATCTTGATGCATCATAGAAACTTATAAAATAAAAAGTTGTTGTTGTTTGTCATGTGTGTATATAAGAAAAAGAAAACAATACTTCCTTTCTTCAGCTTGATAAAACACAGAACTAGTGGTCAAATTCAATTTTATCAACTGAATATTGTAATGTACTTGCTAACTAAACACAGATTTCCAGAAATTAAGGGATTTGTGCAATTCATTTTAGCCATTTCAAGAATCCAGTTTTCTGTCTAATAGAGCAGTTTTGCTGTAATTACAGACTGAACAATAGTACAGTTACAGGGGTTGTTATTAGGTTTTCCTATCATAAAATTAGTGAGAAAATTCAACTGTCAGAATGCAAAATGTTGTGTAACTTACTGTAGCCTTATCCACCTCTTCTTTATTAGGTACAATCTTTTTAACTGGCTTAGGCTTCTCCTTCTCCTGCTTGATAGTGATTGGTTGCTAAAATAGATAAAACGTAATGTTACCAGGGACAAAACAGATCTCATGCAATATACATGTAAGTATGATTTATCATAACATTTTCCCTAATTAATCCAGCATTACTTATCTTCAATTCAGTAATGCAAAGAACAATAAAAAAAAAGGAAATTTATTTGTTTACAATTTTATAAAAAAAATACCTAATGAGGTATTATAATGAAGTTATGTCTTCTCAAGTTATAATGACGCTATAATGACTTGAGTGTTGAGGAATCTTAGTGTGTCCGAAATGTACATTGATATTTCCCATTTTTAATCGCAAAGATCTTGTTCTTCTTCCCTGCTGTATGACGTTTTATCAAAAACAACTAATTACCAGACATTGACTAGTTAAGAGTATCACAATAGATATCACTAGTAGAGCTTACCATTCCAGAGCACACAGGTTCATCCACAGTTTTGAGTTCATTTTGCTAAATCTTTAGTAATCAGTGTTGTGGTTTATGTAGTGATGTTCTTTGTTTTGTCTTTTTATTAATGACTGTGTTAGAAGTATTCCTTTTTTTTACATAGAAAATCTTTTTTTTTTGTTTTGTGAAAAACTGTTTTGGAAGATTGTATTAGCAAACATGCTATCTAGAAGACATCTTGTACCTGTTTATTGAGCAGTGGTTTAGGTGGCTCTGGTGGTGTGACTACCATTTTACTCATCTGACTTGTTGGTGGAATCCCCTGCGCAGATCGTGGTAAATTGCTTGGTGATGTTGGTTTGAACACATTGAAGTTTTTGGCAGGCCTTAAACTGATCTCCTCTTTATGTGGGTAGGATCCACCAACACCATTCATCATGGCCATTGGTGGCACTTGTGTGTTGGTTGTTGGTGGTGTTATCTGAGTCGGCTGTTGTGTCAATTTAGCAGCAAATCTTGGTGGCAGATCCCTACTTTGTTGACCTGCTGCAAATACAAGAAATTTGTGTGTGAAAAATACAATGTTTAACATTAAGCTGAATATAGTTCCAATCTCCCAAAAGACTTCAACAATATTCACAAATTTTCAAATGAACTCTTTTAAAATGCAAGTCACTGTTATTTCAGCTATCACTATTTAATGATCTTAAAGTGTCAGCTGATGCCAATTTATACACTTCAGCGTTTATAAGATTATCCACTTTAACCCTCAATATGTATACTTGTGTTCATTTGGTGGTTGTAAAAGATGTATAAAGATGTATAAGTGGAGCAAAAGTGTGAGTAATTACCATCACCAAAAACATAAACTGATGCTGACAGCAAGGACAAATGCCTTTTCTAAATGTCAATGTAATTGTGGAAATAATGAACCCATGTGTAATTCTAAAGTTTAATTTTCAGACAAAAACTATCACTAGGAATGCCCTTGTTACTAAAATGCAAAAACTTAAAAGAAATACATTCCGACAAAAAATTTCTAAAACAAAAAAGGGTTAACTTGAAAGATATTCATTCCAAGTAAATTTTCTAAAACAAAAGAGGGTACCATCATTTTACATGAACACTGAAGGATTTTTCTCTTCAAAATTCATATCTGAAATAAAAGTATGTGCAAATAAACCCATACTGATGGTAGGATTGTATAGTAGTAAGAGGAAACAAGAGTACATATAATGAAATGTGTCACCTACTTTACTGATCATGATTAATTTATATAAATTCAATCATGACCAGTAAAGCTGGTGACACAGTTGCTTTCTTCTTAAAGAAAAAGCTTATACTACAAATATTACATAAAATTATCATTATCAGTGATCTATTTAAATGAGGTCAAGGTCAGAAGAAACCTGTCATACAGACATGTAAAACTTCAGATATTCCATACACAGTTCACCTATTGCTTATAGTTTCTGTGAAACAGACAAAACAAAAATACTCAAAACCAATAAACCATGGAAATGAGGTCAAGTTCAGATGAACCCCGTCCGACAGACATGAACACCTTACAATTGTTCTACACATTACAAATAATTGACCTATTTCTTATAGTGTCAGAGAAACAGACATTAACACAAAAACTAATCATTGACCAATGAACCTTGAAAATGCGGATAAAGGATGAAACCTGACAAACTGACAAGTACACCTTACAATTATTTCAAACACCAAATATAGTTGGACATATTCCTTATAGTATCTAACCAGACCTAACCACATAAATCTAACATTGACCAACCAACCATGACAATGATTGTCAAATCCTGCCAGACATTTGTCATACGAAGATTATTCAGCAAAAATCAATGGACTAGATAATTGTCAAGAAAATGATACAATGAAAGTATTTTTTTGTAGTAAATTCAGAAATGTTAAGACTCAATGAGAAGTGATATTTCTACCTTGTTTCCTTTGTTGTTGTTGCTGTTGTGTAGGTTGAGCTTGTGGTGACAGTCTCCCTGACTGTTGCCCTGTAGTACCATTCTGTCTCTGGTTCCCTGTCCTTCCCATAATGTTCTGATTTTGTTTGTTGTAGTTGACATATCCCTGTCCCTGTTGTTTTTGTTTCGGCATGTATCCTGGTGAATCATTTATAACCCCCGGTCCAGTCCCTGTGCCTATTGTCCCTGTAATATATAATTGAAAATTATTAATGTGACCAAGAAACACCAATTTAAGCTAAATGTGCATTTTCAATTCTCATGTTCTTTTTACAAACTATGTTTTCTATTCTTGTTCTTCAAATGCCTACTGATTTGCTATAACAAAGTTTCACAAATTTGCTTTCAATGTTTTTGAATAAAATAAAATGTATAAATATAAATATACGCTCATATATAAAAAGTCAAAAGTTGGCAGTATTCATTTGTGTTATGCCAACATTAAAAAGTCTCCACAAACTTCTTCATTGTCATCTTCATGAACCTTGATACTTGAAGAAACAGTACTTTTTACTACAAGGTATTAATGAGAACACCTGATGACTTGTATCTATTAACTCTTGGTACACATGTGATGCCTCAGTACAATGTACAACTAACCAATAACCATTCCTTGTCCTGACACCCCAAACAGATCTGTCAGATTATTCCCCCTACTGAGGTGGCAGCCCACCATTCATATGTACAACTTACCCATAACCATTCCTGGTCCTGACATTCCAAACAGATCTGTGAGATTATTCCCCCATTGAGGTGGCAGCCCACCATTCAAATGTACAACTTACCTACATGTATTACCATTTCTGGTCCTGACATTCTAAACAGATCTGTCAGATTATTCCCCATTGTAGTAGCAGCCCACCATTCATATGTACAACTTACCCATAACCATTCCTGGTCCTGACATTCCAAACAGATCTGTCAGATTATTCCCCCACTGTGGTGGCAGCCCACCATTCATCTGTCCATGTCCTGTAAACCTTCCTTGTTTTGTTGGAATGTACTCACCAAATTCCTGAAAATATCTCATTTTATCAATACCGTAAACGACTAACACATTGTACTATGAACTAGAAAATTGACATGCCAGTAATGGCCCACTTGCACATTTATATTGTGAGAGGCACAAAAAGAAATAATACTAATGCAAACAAAGCAATGCATCAATTTAGTGGTAGAAGTTTCATAACTTTATATAAAGCTATTTCAATTATTATTTACCCAATGATTATTCCAAATGGCCAAGATATTGGGAGAAACTCTATATACTGAATACAAAGTATAACTACACAATTCTAACTTCAAACCTATGTTTCGATTAAGTTTCCTATAAAACAAATATGTTTTACCATTACCATTTAACTTAAAACAAGATCTGCAGGAAAGGCACTCATTTTCTATCTTTTGCTGTGTACAAAAATTGCAAATATGCTACATATTATACCTCCACCAGCAAAAGATTGCCATAGCAAAGTTATAGTACATTGTTCCATTATGATCAGTTTGTAATAGCATACAAATGATTCAAAAATTTCCTCTTAGTTCTATTTTGAAAATTCCTCTCTTACAAAATAAAAAAATGTGGATAGTGTCCACATGTGGACACAGATGATGCCCCGCTTGCATATCATATAGTTAAAAAGGGACATAACTGAAGAACGGTAAAAGTGATGCTATCCAAATTTGAACTTGATCTGAGTTTTGTGGTAATAAGCATTATGTGTAAGTCTCATAACATTTGGTTGAGGCTAACTTAAGTAGAGAACAGAAACTAAAAATTCAGCAATTTTTCTATTTGTAAACACGCATAACTCTAGAACGGTTGTGTAGAAGTTTTATAACATTTGGTTGAGACAAACTAAAAAATTCAGCAATTTTTATGTTTATAAAGGGACACCACCAAATTTCATACTTAATCTGTATTATGTAGTAATAGTTTCATAACATTTGGTTGAGGCAAACTCAAGTTAGAGAACGGAAACCAATTTTGGGACGTACGGACGGACATTACGTACAGACGGACAAGGGTAAAACTTAATGCCCCCACCGCTACGGCATAAAAACTTTGACAAATAATGTCTAGTTCTGGGTTATGATGATGTTATTCATTTTACTGAACACAACTGATTTTTTTGTGTGAATGCTACGAGATAATGTAAATGTGTCATACAAATTTGTAATATTATTAGCCCATCAATCAATCATTATAATACACAATATGATCATGGTGAAGACGCTGATACTTTTACCCTCTAAAAGGCCCAAACTATGTCTTTTTAATGTCTGTTATATTCTGAAGTTACTAAAAGTGGTGATTCTTACATCAGATGCTTCAAGACGTATCTCAGTTATCGTTCTTGGTCCATTATCCTTAGAAACATGTCTTGGAACCCACTGAAATATAAAAGTTCATTATAAGAACATTAGGACACAATAAAAATAAAAATCCTACAAGACAAAGAAGATAAGATTTGATTGATTGACTGTTGGTGTTTTATGCCACTTTCAGCACTATTCCCTATGTCATGGCAGTCAAATTTTATTGGTGGAGGAAGTCAGTGCCAGGAGAGAACCACTGACCTAGTCAAATAGGATTTGAGTCGAATGCTCCTGCCACATCATTGTGACATGCCAGTTCCAGCTCACAACCTCAGTGCTGACAGGCTAATTATACAGTAAACCACTCGGCCACTGAGGCTCCCAGAATAACCCAAACAGAAACATAACCAAGAAATAAATCTTTCAATCCTTAAATGAATGTGTTAGCAGCTATTTCCTTTCAATTATTCATCCTTTTGTGTATCTTATTATTTGTCAATCTAGAGAAGTTACAATCTACAATTCACTTGTGTTGGAGTTATGCTTGAAAGATAGTAAAAAGGCGTTCATTTGATCAGGTCAATTTTACAGAAACTACTATGTTCCTTGGAGGAAGGCATGTTCTTTTTACCTGACCACCAATAGTTTATTTCAAAACATCCACCAAAAGAATTTGAATAATTTAAAAACTTACAACCCATGGGATTTCATTAAATATTGACTCTGCAAAGCTTCATTTTTGATAAACAGATTTAGTTTTCTGCCGTACATATTTACCCATAGTCAACTCTAATTGTTATCAAGATTTTTTTTTTTTATTTCAAAATTATCCAAGAGAAAAAATAAACAAGAAACATAGGATTTATGAATAGAAAGCTATTGTACTACATTTTATCATTATCAAAATAATATAACAGGTCATTAATAGAACGATAAAGTGTTTTCTTAAACTGCCTTAATATTAACTGTGATGATATATTCCATTGAGGAAATTAAGGTCAAATTTTCTTTAAAACTTAAAAATAAGAAATTGGTACTTAAAAATGACACTTAATACTGCAAATCAGACTTACTTTATTAGCCCTCAATTCTCCTATATCTTGAAGCATAAATCTAATCCTTGAAGGTAATTCCACATGCAGTGAAAAACTTCTAATCCTTTCAAAGTATTGGTCCATCCATGACTGAAAAAAAAATAATAAATAATCATCCTATCATCATTACTGCTTTTAACTAATTCAGAATTTCCTTGTCAAACCATTCCAAAATAAATTTTTTTTATCACTTTTCTTATATTCGCCTAAAAATGGAAAATGACAAAAACTAACAAAACTTGACAAAAATTCGTAAGGGTTCCACGGAACCCAGTGTCTCGCCTACTTTTGGTGTTAATCGCAGGCTCAACAAAAATGAGGAAAAAAATTAATAAAAATATTCCTCTCTATACTATCTTTTGATTGTAAGTAGCTTCTGTCCAAGTTTGGTAAAATCCAGGATAATTTATGAATCTAATAAATGTTTTAAAAACTTAAACTGCAGAATGTATGTAATGTTGACTGGAAGAAAAACTAAGTCCATTTATAAGTAAAATACGGAAAAAATGGAACAAAATTTTATCAAAATTTCCTTCTAGATACTAGCTTTTGATCATAAACAAGCTTCTGTCCAAGTGTGGTACAAATCCAGGATAGTTTAAGAAAGTTGTTAAAATTTTAAAAACTTTAACCACAGAGTGAATGTAATGTTAACTGGCAGAAAACTAAGTCCATTTATAAGTAAAATACAGAAAAAATGGAATTTTTTTTTTACAAAATTTACTTCTGGATACTATATCTTATGATCATAAACAAGCTTCTGTCCAAGTTTGGTACAAATTCAGGATAGTTTGAGAAAGTTATTAAAATTTTCAAAACTTTAACCACAGAGTGAATGTAATGTTAACTGGCAGAAAAACTAAGTCCATTTATAAGTAAAATACGGAAAAAATGGATTTTTTTTTAAAAAAAATTTACTTCTGGATACTATCTTATGATCGTAAACAAGCTTCTTTCCAAGTTTGGTAGAAATCCAGGATAGTTTAAGAAAGTTATTAAAATTTCAAAAACTTTAACCACAGAGTGAATGTAATGTTTCCTGGCAGAAAAACTAAGTCCACTTATAAGTAAAATATGGAAAAAATGGAATTTTTTTTTTTCAAATTTACTTTTGAATATAATCTTATGATCATAAACAAGCTTCTGTCCAAGTTTGGTAGAAATCTAGGATAGTTTAAGAAAGTTATTAAAATTTCAAAAACTTTAACCACAGAGTGAATATTTGTGGACGCCGCCGACGACGACGACGCCGACGGAATGTAGGATCGCTATGTCTCGCTTTTTCGACAAAAGTCGAAGGCTCGACAAAAATGGACACAAGATTTCACAAAATCTCTGTTCCATGCTTTACTGCTGTCAAGTCAACATCCGGTTTTAGAAAACTTTCTTATCAGAGTGTTATACACAAAGAGTTTAGCACACACTTTAGTTTGCAGAAGATCAACACTCCAAAGGTATAAATCACTGTTAGTTAACAGAAACTATATTTTGGTATGAGTTACTGTCAGTTAACAAAACCCTCATCAAAATTTTTCATGAGTTGTGATAAAATTCCTTACCATTCATTTCCTTGATTGCATTGAAACCCTTTAGTTACAGATGCAAAAAATTAAAACTGGATAAAATAACAGAAAATTTAGAAAAAAGACAATCTGGACAGCAACATCACTAATTAATTCAAAGTCGCTGGAGCATAACCTAGGGGACAGGGCCTGGAAATGGTGGATAAACTGAGATGAACTGATGGTAATAAAACTTTATAGAAAATATTTTTGTCTATCATAATTAGTTCCTATCAAACTAACTGAAGCAGAAACTTAATATTGAAAATTGGTAATTAATTGAAAGCCATTGGACCATGACCTATGGGCCAAGGCCTCTAAATAGTTGTCAAACTGATATGTGCTGATAGTAATGCAACTTTATAGATAATATCATTGATCTATCACATGTAGTTCCTATCAAACTAACTCAAGCAGAAATCTTTACAACAATTGTTAACAGTCAATGCCGTCTGAAAAGCAAGGCAAGACAAAAATTGTGGTCTTGGGTAACTTGACTTTCATAATTCAGAATAAAAATTCATCAATCTTTTTAAGATTTTCCCCAGCACTAGGACATTTAAGAGAAATGTGGAGAAAAAATTCGAAAAAAAAAATTCCTACTCAAATACCCCATATCAACACAATCAAAGTTAGTTAAACAGCTGAGAAATACATGTCCACCCCACAGGAAAACTCTTTTGTACAGGATATCAATCAATCTTTTTGAAGTTGTTTCTCAGGTTTAACTGATTTATATCTAAATTATTTTTGCAAAAATGATTTAACTTATCAAATAATAAAATTGAAAAGCTTTTGAGCAAAAAATAATAAACCATGTTGTTTACACAAGTAAATGAAGTATAAATTCTGAAAATATTTCATACTGAAATTTTAATTCAATCATGTTGATTGTTGAAACACACTATTTTTGTGTAGGTTGAAAACAAATTCCAACAATAGTTATAATTCAAAATGAAAATAAATGTACCTTTGCCTTAGATGTATCAAGACGACGCCCAACTGTTCTCATTATCTGACAGAGGCATTCAAAGTCTTCTGCCATATCTCTGATCGGAACACTTTTCTTCTTCTCCAAAAGCTGTTTAATGCATTTGTGTAGAATTCCTTCATGCAGCATTTCAAGTTTACCAAGTTCACCTGTTAAAAAATAGAAAATTACATAACAATAAAAGGAAATAAATAAAGTAAAAGACTTATAACTCCCATAAAAATTATCAAATCAAAATGAAGGTATGTGATAAGTTTTTTAGCCAAATGAATTTCTCTAGGGGAAAAAACATCCCTATCCTATTCAGCACGATTCGCAGGCCTTATCAGGAAAGTTGATTTTTATTTTAACTTTACCTTGGGTAGATACTGATTTTGAAACCACAAGTCTCTTTGTTTGACTAATACAATACAAATCTTGTTGAACTGCTGACCAAATATAGTCATTTTGTTCAGAATTATTAAAAAATTAGGGATGGAAAATTCATTCAACATATTCAAAGTATATGCTCACACTTTACAACTCATCACTGTTAAGCTACTGACCAAATATGAAGACATTCTTGTTTAGTAGTTTCTAAGAAAAGTGTCATAAAAAATTTGTTGGACAAATAGACTGACAAGGTATTAGCAATATAGCCCCCACTCCGGGAGTATAAAATTGCACTCACCAATGAACTTGATATTTCCCAGCATTTTCCTCTTGGCCAGGTGATATTGTTCAGCTTCTTCAGGTGTGAGGGGTCCATCTTTACGATCAAAAGCTGAAAAATATTTCATGATAACCTTGAACTTGAAAAAAGTAAAATAACAAAAATACCGAACTGTGAAAAATTGGTTCAACAAAGCTATATGACATAACATCCCTTAGCACCTGAATTTGAAAATAAAACTTAACCCAAGTCACTGAACTTGAAGCATTAAATCTACATTACATCAGAGTGATCTAACTTTACTTTGAAGCTATTATAATCCCCTTGATGCCAGGGGATAGCCCAATATGGATCACATCTCTCCATAGTACACCTTCTCGGGGAATTATACCCCTCTTCACTTAAACTGTTAACACAAGAGATATGTCTCGCCTTTTTGTTATATTGATAGTAAAATGCAAATGTTGAAATTAAAATAGCAATACATTAACATGTAAGTTATGTAAAATATTCAAAGTCAATGAACCATGACTGAAGGTACATGGCCAAACAATTTACATAAAATGAGATGTGCCAATGCTAATACAACTGAATACCAAATATCATTGACCTACCTCTAGTGGTTCCCTACAAAACTGACCTAATCACAAACTAATACATTGTTGACGACAGCAAAAGTTTCAAAAAGTGATAACCTTATGTTTGTTCATTCAGACTTGTCTAGGCCATCTTAGATATACTTTTTATACTTTACCTTCTGTAGCTCGTGATCTGTTTTCAAATTCATCTTGACACTTATTCAAAAGGAGGCGACGAAATGTCTGAAAGCAATAAAAAGCTAAATGCTTAAAAGTATGACAAAATGGTTTACATTAGAATTATTAATGTTCAACAATTTGATGAATTTCAGTTGATATTTTCAATAAGTAGAACTGTGAGCTATTGCTTACTTATGATACCCTTCATTTAACTATTCGTAAACAGGAAGTTGAACAGAAAAAAATCTGAAAATGCCTTACTAGGTAATCAACTGTATATGAACAATAGTTTTTAAAGAATTGCTATGTTATTCATTCATACTCGTATAATACCTTCTTAACAATTGTCTATGAAGACAAGTACTTACAGTTACACTAGAGGACGAGGAATCAAAGTTTGGTGCGTCTTCACATAATTGGTGACATAACTGTGCGTACATAGAACTATACTTGGGTTCATCAAGAGCTTTTTCAAATATCTGAAATTTAATTAACAGCATTTAATATATATATTCAACTTGCATTGTTAAACTGTATTACAAAATATGAGTTTTAGTATTAAATGGAAAACACACGATTAAAACTAGCAGGATTTGTAATTAAAATGAACCATTATCAATATTAGTAATATTAGTGAAAAGTCATCTGTTCATAATTTAGGATAACTGAGATTGAATTGCCTTTGTCATGTTTGTATATATTGTAAAAAAAAAAAGTGTGGGAAATAAACTTTTTTGTTGTTGAAATGAATACACTGCATTCAATTACTTACACAAGCACAAGATATTGTTAAATACTGTCATGATTTCTTACCAAGTTTAAAAAGATATCTTACCTTCTTACTTCAAATCATGAATAGTAATAATTTATACATATCAATTTACATAGGAACTATATGCAAGTGTACTTAATCAAACTGAATTTGTCGTTTTCACTTCAAAACTAATTTATTGAAGGCAAATTTAATGTTAAAAGTTGGTACATGATCAAAGTGGTGTTTGATGCTTCCATTTACACATCTATATTTTGATAATATGCATATAATTCTGAATGCTGTCCCATCTTAAAATATAAAGTGGAAACATTGAGCCGGATTAACAGGCCTAAGTGACTTACCAATAAAATAATTCCATGGAGAATGGTATTGGTTTCTATACCCACATTGAGTAGTTCCAAACTTAGCTTATCAAACTTCTCAGGTGTAAGTTTATTGAGTATTCTGAAACATACAACACAAAGTTCAATAAAGACTTGTCTAGTACATGAACAACAAATCACATACATAAAAACAACATTACCTTAAAGGTGAATTGATAAAAAAAACATTGGTTCAAAGTTATTTACCTCATTTCAGATATATGTGGTTTCCAGGTGCTTTCTTAAAAGTAATACATTAGAAAACATTTCTTTATATTAACATGCACTCCTTTGTATTGTAGACTAAATAGTGTTGACCAGCTAATAGTCATAGAAAGTGAAAAGATCACAAAAAGATAACCTAAACAGTTTCTGAACCATGAAAATGAGGTCAATGGTAATGGACATATTCAAGAATAATTTAACCGCCAGATGGAAACTTCAGAGTATAAGACAAGATAAAAGATACAAAATATTCAGCTCATCTGCCTTCTAAAATTTTAAAATATTTTACAAACCCTCTAACTTTACGAAATGTAGCATCATTTTTATCATCAGGAATTGGAACATCTCTTTTCAAACTACTTGGAGGAATCCATCTGCTGTTAGCAGGCAGTTTGGATGCTGTAGCATCCGATCCAGTAAAGTGGGGTGGTCTCTCGTCCCTGTAAAACAATCTTTTGACTGTATTTTTATCTTAGACAATCAGTTTCATTGTAACTTGGTCAAGAATTTTACATACAATGCAGACATATAAATCAAAAGAGAAAGTTATAAATAACACCTCATCGATATAAATAGCTATGCTAATTCCTCTTGTCACCTTACAATATAACCTTCAATATACAGTTGTAAAATGTCATGATCTAATAAAACAAATTTGATTTTGAGACAGACATCCATCAGAATTGTCATTTGTTAACACTTTTTAAGTCCAAAAATAGTAAAACAACAGAAATAAATTAATTTAAATTGAAATACACTTTGTAGTAAGAAATTAAACATTGCATAAAGAATTTGTAAAGATCCAAGAAATCAAACTAGATTTACATGTATCATGCTCTTAATTGTCAAATTTTAAAGATTAATGTTCCATAACTCTGGATCGCTAAAAATGTACAAATACATGGTTGGAACAATAACTGAATAATATAAAACTGTTCAGTCAGTTATAAGTTTCTTCTGTTTGTGCTCAGGGATAAACAATAACTTTATTAACCACTTGCCCTTTGGGCAACTGACCATGATATTTTACTTGTCCAAAGTTTGAACTTGCTTAAGAAATTTCTAAACTTCCATTATGGTTGCAAAATCATTTTATTGTGTTCAGTTTTTTATTTCTCTGAAATACCACTAAAAAGTGACCCCAGTGTAAGCTGCCCTGTCCATCCCAGTCTGGGATAAATACTGATTCTGTTTAATGGGGATTAAATAATTCACATGTCTTTTTTAAACAATCTTTATAATATAAGCATGTAAATGTAAGACTTAATGGGAAAAGACAGCAAATGTTCAGTTTATTTCCCTGTTGTTAGAGAGAAGATGTAGATGTAGTAGAAAATGGTGTTATGAACATCAATTAAGCTGGTTCTCGGCTGACTACTACACTTTGTTCATCATGTTCATAGACGACCAGTGAGGTCCGATCTATTGTAGAATCTGATAAGTCATCCAATCAAATTACGTGTATTATACCGCACTTCCCTTTGTAAACATGAAATTTTATTTTATGCTACAATCCAAGAAATGTTATCGCAAATCAACTATTAAAGATTGAAAGAATATTCTTTTTTTCAAACCAGCAATTTAATGGAACAATTTTTTCATTGGCTAAAATTTATTGTCAAATCCACAATTGACATATCGTAATAGCCTTCAGTTCAAAAGTTTCCATTTTGTATGACATCATGTTTAACCATCACGTTAAAGTGCCAAAATCATTCATGAAGTTTAGCGGTATTTTATTTTATTTCAAATTGATACCTTTTTCAATATTTATTTTCTTTTTGTAATGCAATAGATTATTTAAATTTAAAATAGGAATTTATTTTACGCATCAATTTTATGCTTTATGTAACAGGAAACAAATTGTTCTGTTTGCTTACATTTTCGGATATTGTACGTTGCTATGTAAGAAAGTATCGTCCAATCTCGTTAAAATCTCCAGGGCAAAATTTTGCCCTACAAGATTGGGCCGTACCAGTTGTTTGAGTGTAGCGTAATACAAGCGGATTCCAGTTTAGAACATCAATGAGATAGCATCACTTCCTGCCTTGCCTCTTATATTTATAATACTAATTACTAAGGAGCACTTGTATGTGCACATGACACATACTTATTTGTAACATTTAAAGACTCAAAAATAACTGCCAATATATAAACAATTGTATGTATTCACAAATAAGTTAACTGGAAATTATAGTATTTGAAAAGCAATTTAAGTTGCCTGCTTATTTTTATAAACTGGTATATCAGTACCAAAACACTTTAAGTTCTATTTTCACTTTCATAATTCTGTGTCTTGCTTCATAATACATTGTGTAACAAAGTGAAAGCAACATCAAGAATAAAATAAATGTCTACATTTAAAATGTAATTTTGCACATATGCTTAAAATATGTCCTTGTTTATTCATGTAATAGAAATATGGAATTTGGTTTTCAGGAAATGTGCTTTCAGCCCAATAATGTTTAAATTGTCAAAATTGCTTTATATTGCCTTATTTTATAGGTATGTTTTCTATAGTAAGGATATATTATATTTGGTATATTTCATATTCATTTTACTTTACAAAAGTGCCCTAAAAATCTTGACGATTGTGCTAAACTAGCACCCTTCTGCCCCGAGATTAAAGCTGGAACACTGAAGGACATACTGATTTCTTCAATCCTGGTGGATAATAGTGTTTTTCTATTAGTATTATCTAGAAAAAATTACCTTCCTCCTACTTGTGGAGAAGCACCACCCTGTCTTTGCTGTCCGTCCAGAATGTTGCTGGTTTCTTATAACAGATCACACTTCAGCAAACAACAAAAAAATAAATAAAATAAAAACTGCTTTTGTCTCTGAAAATAAAAATAAAAGAAAAATGTATGAAGTGATTGTTTAAAATATATAAATGATTAAAGCAATTTTAAACAATATAGTGTTAAATATTTTGATAGAATAAATACATGTACATGTATGGTACCTAACAACTGACAATGGCTGAGATATTGGCAAAACTTTAATTAAATGATTCGATGACAACTAGCGCTATTATAGCATGTATAGTTTTCAATTGATTGATCAGAATTCATCCATCTTCTAAGCATAATTACAAATTGTGCATTACACTACAGTGGACTCTTTCTTTATTATGAAGGTTTGTGGTAATAGCTAGGGTGACAACAACAGCAGTGTTCTCCACAGGCCCTTAAAGGACCGCGGGCCCGCGATGTATAATTTTTCACCGTGGTGGTATCGTTCTTACCGCGATGTATAATTTTTCTCCGTGGTGCTAAAATTTTCAGTTAAAAAATCGTAAATCGGTAAAGTTTTAATCGATTTGTTAAATCTTTTCCGTGCGGTATAAAATTCCAGGTGAAATTTGACCAGTTCAAACCAGTTCAACACATATTGTTTACACCACGTGATTGATTTACCTTTATGAGGTTAACCTTTGTTGATTGGATTTAACCGATGTAATTAACACTTTTTACATGATTCTTTTGTGTTTTAATTTAGAGATCATAACTTTATGATCAAAGATAACTATTTTAAGGCTTCACTCACCACCTGACAAGTCGGCAAATACTTTGTACACAAACCGTGTTGACCCGATAGTTGTACACACGGCGGTACATATTTTGTACATTATAAAGTTAGCTCAATACTTATTATATAGTTTTATATGTCTCTGATTAAACCATGGCCAAATTTATCTTTAATTATGACATAGTTATTGCATGCTATTCCGGTTTCAAACTGTCAACAAGTAATTCAAAGGAGAAGGATCACATGACCCAGTTAGTTCACGTAGAATATTCAAGATTATTTACAATTAACTGCAATCTATTCTATTTTATAAATAAAATGCATGACTGTACCTTAAAACTGGATATATATATCCATATGATCATTAATGAATAACAGAAGTGATCTTGTAATTTTAATCCATAAGCACATGTTAAATCTATTTATATCTACTTCCTGTCATTTAGGCGGGAAAATAGGGAGACTTTGTTGTTGACATTGAATATGTTACTTATAGATCTATAGACCTAAGATAAATTTATAGATTTAGCAATTCTTTTGAAATGGATCATGACAAATAAAGATTTGGATTTCAGTGCAGTATTAAGTCTGTATCTATGTTTGATTATCACCAAAGACAAGAAAGGCTAATATTTACATGTTCATGAAATCTATGGCAAAATGTTTTAAAATTTATGAAAAATTTCTTTTTATTAAAATTTAAGATAGAAACTGGTTCAGATTATTACACAATTTTGTTTCTTGTTAATTTTATATCTCCTTATGACAGGAATCCTTTCACATACAACAACTTTCTTTCTAGAAACTAGAAAGGTTTTTTAAATTGAACATTTTTGTTCTCTTTTGAATCTGGGAACAGTATATCTAACAATATATATGTTCCTGTTTGAATGATATTTTATTTTTATTGATCATGGATTTTATAAAAGATTTAATTACTTTAAATTTAGATGAATATTATGTAATGAATCATGTTTTATTTATTTTAAAAAAATATTAAAAGTATACAAACTGTTTATTGATCTTTTTAAACAATAATATTCTGACATAACACAGTACCACAGTATTAAAATTAAACAAGAGACATAAAAACTGCAGTAACTAGAAATATAGCGACGCCACGCGACACAACTGATTGTATGAATCATTTCACCAAGCTGTTCACACGCGTTACCCTGGTGCTATCCAAAAATCCTGGGGAGAACACTGAACAGTAGTGTTCACTCTTAACCACAGGCCCACCAGCCCAGGTCATATCTACAGGCCAATAGAATCTAACAAAGTTTTCGTAAAATTCAGCTTCAGGCCTGTACATTTAAAAGTTTATCTTGAAGACTGCAACGGAAATGAAATTTTTTGGGGATACATTAAATAAAGTTTAAATTGAACGTCAAATTTTAGAGTATTCTGGAGGAATAAGAACTTAGGTCTAGTGTTACTAGAATATGGGTGAAAACAGGTCTAATACTGAAATCCTCGGTTATCTGATGACCCATATGGGTCATTAACAAATCTGGGATGAGATGGTAATTTCTGGGGTCACAGCCGCAAAATACAAGTCAGTTGACAGGTATGAATTTGGGTACCATCAGCGTGATCAGGTTATCATGGTTATATTGTCCTTCACAGATTGTAATTGCTTTTTTCAATTATGATTATACAAATCTATTTCATCATGTTCATTGACATTTCGGAATCAAACTGAAAACCAACAAGTTTCTAATAGCATAATAAGGATCATGATGCTGTTAGTGTTATTTTTTCATTTTCTAAATTCACAACAAAAAATGAAGTGTCTTATCTGCTTCGTAGTTTCTATTTTAGAATTTTAGAAAACAAAGAAAATAGTTGATGCACACTCCACGAGTTCGGTATGAATCAAATATGTATTTTGTATTATATTCTCCTT